TCCGTAGGAGCCCGTACGGTGGCGTGCAGGGTCACCGGAGTAAAGGCTCCTAGAGAGTCATATACCTGAACAATGATCTTCATGACATAATGATTAGCCAATCCACCAACGGGGAGAAAGGAAGGGGGTGATGTGGACTCATGCCCCCAATACAGGATGGCCCCCAAGGTGTTCTCTTTCACAGAACTGATTTGCCCAAAACCGTACAAATCAGAAACTACTATTTTGTATGCAAGAGGGATGTTCTTGTCCGTGAAATTAGTACACCGGATGACAAACTTGGTTAAAAGTGAAAGTCCCTTAGCTGGATTGATGTTGCACTGCCCGGGCTGAGGAGCGTAGTTAATAGCAAAGGAGTATCTCAAGGTAAAGCCCACTCCGCTCCAAGTTATTGAGTATACAGAAACCAAAAACTCAGCTTCGGAAAAATCCCTAAAAGCAAAAGCTTTTATGGTCAGATAAGCCCTGGCCCTCCCTGTTGTGGTTTGTCTTGCCCAATCAAATATGATCTCTTTACCTGAAGACGACAGAATCGACCACTTATAGTAATCACAGTCTCCTGCACACCCGGTGCAATTTAGAAACAAAGAGAATCGATCTGAAATAATCAAATTACGATTGCAATTTTCAATGCATGAAATGTGTGCTGCGGGTCTTGGTCCTGGGAGCACATGCACCCTCCTATCGGCATACGCTGTTCTACTGCCCTTCCGGATCACCATTCTGAAATAATACACATCTCTGCCTCTCAGTGTTCTTGGCAAAAATGACAGGATGGGGCCAGAGGCCTCCTTCCACCGCAGATCAGTCTGCTTTGCAGTGAGACAGACTTTCCTGCTTACCACTATAATTGTCTCTCCTTGGTAGTTATTTTTATCTTTGGTGCAGTACCAAGAAAAAAGGAGTCCCTCTGAAGAGTTGCCTGAATCTGGGTCCGATGACCTGCTTCCATCCAGAACCAGCGAATCTGTGAAATTCATTGTTATGTTGGGCCTGGCAGGAATAACCACCGCCTGTAGGGGGCTTCGAAGAACGGTGACGTAGACGATATCGGAGCCTGTTGCCCGAGGTGTATTTGACTTCCTTGTGTAGATGGTGAGAGTGAAGTTAAACACGTACACCCCCCAAGATAAAGAATTGGGGGGGATTTCCATATACGCTGGAGTCCTCCCTAGGCTGAGTTGTGGTACGTCCAAAGGCTGATTCCAGTCCGGCACGTCGGATACGGAGGGCACGGAAAAGACTTGCCAACTCGGATTAAATAAGGTGGCTTCCAGGCAGTCGTACTTAAAGGTTGCATTCAAGGTAGTGTGCATTCTCCTGTTCAACACCACCGGATCTTGGTCCCTGTTGATCCTTACCAGGCTGACAACACAGGGCAACTGTGCGGATAACTGGCAGGACACCGAAGACTCGATGGCTTGGGGGCCGTCCGAGTTGACGGCTTCTAAAACAACAGGCGTGGGCCCATCCGTGGGGCACTTGGCTTGGGCCACGAAGCCCGCGTAGAGGCGAGGGTCGCCGGCGGGCAGAGCAGAGGAGGCCTGGCGGGGGCGCCGCACGCTGGCGGGTGGG